AATTAATATTGTTGCTTGAAAATATTTTTCTTCTATTTGTTTTAAATCCTTTTGGGCTTGGAGATAAAGTTGCTAAATAAACGAGAAGAATTTAAGTTTTTTTTTCTTTTTTGCTAAATCTAAAAAAATATTTTATTACCTGATATTGTTGTTTTTCTTTTTCTGTATTATCTAAAGTTCTTTCTAATGATTCATAACATTGTTTAAGTATTTCAATTTCAAATTCATTTGACATTTTTTCATCAGTTGGCTAAAAAAGAAAAATAGAATAGATAAATATTTTAAAAGCATTGTTGAATTTACCTCCTCTTCATCTTCAACATCATGAAAATTTTGTTCATAATATGCATCATGATATTGTTGAAATGTGTCTGATATATCTTCATGTTGTTGGTCTAATTGTAGAGATCGTTGAATAAGTGCAAAAATTTCAGATTTTTCAGGTTCTTTTTCACGACCAATAATAAATCTTAAATATTCGAGATTTTTTTAGAATTTATAATTAAGAAATATTAAAATCCTACTTTACAACACCAGATGTTGTTTTAAGAACATTTGTAGCACATGCATGTGTTACCCCGACAAGTGATTGTCCATTTACTTCGATGATTTGATCACCGACTTGAATACTAATTGATGAAAAAACAGAACATTAAATTTAAAATATTTAATAAAAATATTAATTACCGTCCATCTTTAGCAATTATTCCCTGAGGATTAAGAGATTTTACAAATATACCTAATTTTTCTAATCCACTATCAGCACCAACACCCATTCCCAGTACACTAAAACAATATTCACTAATGAGAATTCTATTAGATATATATATATATATTCTATACCTAATACCAAGACCATCAGGTCCTAAAAGTAAAGAGATTATTTTTTCTTTAAATAAATAATTAATTTTCGAATTATACCTTTTTCAACTTCAACAGTAAATATATTCATTTTTTCAATTCGTTTTTCTAATTCATATTCAGCAGCTGCTGCAAATGGATTAATATCTTCATTTCGTCGATCATATTCACTTGGTGAATATGTTGGATAAACCTATAAGATTATTGAATTTTGTTATTCTTATTTTCAATCAATTGTTTTCTATTCATACTCGAATTGGTGCATTACTAAATTTAACTCGTCTAGTATCATTTGATAATGTATCATCGCTAGTTTCTGGTAAACCAGGTTTTTCATAAAACAATGGTGTTGATGATCTGTCATCAACATGTGCACAAACGGCTTCTAAATATAATAAAAAAAATACGATTGATGATGATTGATTATCTTTATTTTACGTGCATACACTTTAAAAATATGATTAACTAACTCAAGATAAGATGATTTCTTATTCTCATGAGTTTCTAAACATATTTTTAATGATAGACAGAAATGTTTGCCATGCCCTTTGAAACTAAATAAGAACGTAGGCGTCTTATAAAATCCATTATTTTCTTCTTTTAGCTATGTATAAGATAACATGTACTATTTATGATAAACAATGAGATTGACAAGTCTGGTTAAATGTCAGTTATTTTTAGAGAAGATAAATTTTCTTCGGACTCTTATCAAACCTTTCAATAACAAATCAACACTTTCTTTTTTTTATACAAAAGATTTGTTTACCATGAAATATTGGATTTTCAACTGTTTTTAATTGTTCTTGTTTTGTATTATTATTATTATTATTATTATTATTATTATTATCTTGAAAAATTAATTTCGGTAATGATTGTTCAATTTTTGTCGGTTTAACAAAAACTGTATTCAGATGATCCATACGTTTAAGAACATTAAATGGTAAAAAACGAGTTGTTATTTGTTCATTTTTTGGATCATTTTCATCCCGTTGATGTTTTTTTAATTTTAAAATGGTATCAGAAGGATAATCATAATGTTGTTCTGCATTTGAATATCTTCGATTAATTATTGCATAAGGAGGAGCATCTTCATTTGGTGGATTCGAAACTACATCATATGATCGATTTGATAATGTACTACTCATTGATTGTGCGGATGTATTATGATTATGTTCTTGATGTTTATTAGCCATTGCTTTTGTTGTCATTAATGGTGCATTATTACATATTGATGGATCATTTAATGTTTGAAAGTTTTCTTTTGTTTCATGATAATTTGTTGGATGAATATTTGTTAGTAATGGATAATCATCTGAATTTAATTTATTTGCCATTAATGAATGTTCTGTGAATATATTACGTAATCGAGTAACATGACCATTATATTTATTATTATCTGTATGAGAAGTCTCTGTTGGAGTATCAACGATAAAGTTTGATGCAGAATCAGTATTGGTAAGAGGAGATGGTATTGCTGAATGAATAAGAATGTTTGCCATTTATTATCTTCGTCTTAATTGTTTGTTTGGGCGTCAAGCTTGTCGCCCGTCGTAATATCTTTCTTCTATCGTCTTAACAACCGTTGTTGCATACATCAATCAATAGTAGAAATATTTATTTTATCCTTGGTTTTAACAGAGATCTTGCTGGTAATCATTAGAAATAAAAAAGATAATTCAGAACAGATTCAAAAACAAAACAAAACAACTATTATCTAAAGAAAATAAACGTTTAATCTTATGAAGAAGAAGAAGAAAAAAAAAAGATCGATTATATTTCTATCGACCATGGAAGAAGAATGTAAGCAAATATTTCATATAGACATTAGTTAATTTAAAAAATCAATAATAAAATTAAGATCCCTTACAGCATTAAGTTTTTTTTGTCAATATCGACTGGCATGCTGAAAGCATTACACGAACGAAAAGAGAATTAAAATAAACATAAGCAATTATTTGTTATATAAGAACGCCAACCGTAATATATTCTATTTATACTACCAGACTTTGACGACATCTACATGACCCTGTCCAGTTTCTGTTATTTGTCATAGATTCTTTTTTAAGAACAACCATATAAGACGACGCGAAAGAGAACGACTAATATCTTGTCTTTTATTCTTATCTTCACATAACAAATCTATTTATAATTTCCTATTTATAAATATGCACCTTTGACAATATTATATTTAATAATTCATGTTGCAGATCTAAAAAAGTCTAATAATGCATGTTTTTAACAACACTTATTTGATTGTCAATAGTCATTGAAAGACAAGAGAAAATATTTTCTATCTTTATCATTATTAATACATTCCATCCAATTTTTTTTTTCTTCTTCTTTTCTTTAATTGTTCTTATAAATAAATAAAGTCATCTTTTTAAAGATGAACATTTATTAAGAAGAATATTTCAAGCATGAAAAGAGTCATGCGACCTTATTGCGATGATATAAATATTATTAGAAAGAAGAAGGAGAACAAGAAGAAGAAGAGAAAAAAAGAACTCTTCTTCCTTGTCATTTGAAGATGCAAAGATCTAAATGACGAAACATAAAAAACTATCTAGAGTTATTTTTAGCCTTATCTTTTTTTCTTCTTCTCTTCTCCTCTCTTTTTCTCTTCGATTCAATGTTTGTCTACGTCATGATGGCATACTAGGGTGCTATTGATGCTTGCTGTTAGATTTCTTTATTGTTGTTCTATGATGTATGTCTTATATATCAGCCATAGAGACATTTTATTTTTATAAAGGTTATTGATTAATGATAAGGCTTGTGGAATTGAAAAGCTTTTCTCTTCTATTTAGAAGTTTTTATCGATATATTTTGAAATTAAAATAAATTTTCATAGTTTTTTTTTCAAGCGTTAAGTACATTGTGATAATTTATTATGTATCATCGTATTTATCATAATTATAGATGACTAAAATAGATGAGAATAAAATTATCTATTCAGTACACATAAAGAGAATATAATATGTCATTTTAAGAGAGAAATACGTTCGATAAAAATAGTAATTGATGTAGAGAAAGAAACAAATAGCAACAATAACAACAACAAATACAATATAATACGATTAAATAAAGAAGAAGAAACAAAGGAAGAAAGACAGGTAAAGTATTATGTAAGAGGAAAGAATGGTGATTATTTTCGTTCGAAAGATTTGAAAGAAAAAGAAAAATACATTTCTTTCTTTTTTTTTAGTTATTAGGCATGTTTTTCTTCTTTCTTTTGGCGCAGAATTTCATGTCCTCTTGTGACTATTGCTATTTTTAGTTTTTATTCTGTTCGTCCCGTCTCATTTTTCTTCCTTCTTCTTCATCTATCCATTCATAAAAAAAGGTATATACCAGTGCTTTTATGTTGCTACTTGTTTTTTCTTTCTTTATGTTGATAGGAAAATGATATTACCTCTATAGAGAGAGAGAGAGAAAAAAAAAGTTCGCTCTAATACCATCAGAAATTATTCAGATGTATTTTAAGCAAGCTTATAAATAGATATAATATATATATATCAAAAGCTGTTTATTTTTGATTATGAACTAGAGTTATAATTCTATTCTTAGAATTAATCTTTCATTTTTTTATATTTAAAAGGTAAAAGTAGTGATAGTAGAAAAGAAATAGGTCATAAAAGTGGAATTTATTTAAAACAAGAAATCTGTCATCATTATCACTTGTCGGATAATATAATAACCTTCTATATTTTTTCCTAATTATTAAAATATGATAACCTTTCGTATTATTTTTCCAATACATAAATCGTAAATAGCATGTTTTTGTCATGTTCTGAGCTTAGTTTTTTTTTCTTTCTATTTTTTTTCCTTTTCTTACTACTCGGTTTTTTGCTTTTTTTTTATTCGTCTCATATGAAGAAAGAGAATAAGACATGAAGAAGAAGAAGAAAAAAAAAACATATACTCTTCGACCAAAACTGACTGACATACACTATACAAAGAGATAAAGCAAAACTAAGTGAGAGTAGCATCTGCAAAGAAGTATGAAAAGAAGAGTAAATCATTTTTTTTTTGCTTTTCTCTTCCTTGTTCTTCTTTTCTTTTTTTTTATATATGTATTTCTATTGTTTTTCTTTGTTTCATTTTTAGAAAGTTATATATTTCGTATCTAACAAATCTTCATGGTTGACTTTTGTCGACCATCATCATTGCCAGGCAATAATACACTAGGCTCTGGTAATAGTAATAATAATAATAATAATAATAACAACGACAATAATAATAAAGAAGGAAATTCAAAATATTTTCCACGAGTATTTGTAAGTATTTATTTAAAACGAAAAAAAATAATAATAGAGAAAATACGAATATTATATTCTGATAAGAAATATTCTAAAGGATTCTAATTCAATTCATTTTTCATCTAATAAATCTAAGACAAAGATAATGTCCTGAAAGTTTCTCATAGAAGTTATATAGTAACAAAATAAATAAATAAATCTATGTATATATTAATTATTATTTTTTTGTTTTTCGTCATTCATTTTTTTAGCTTCCCTATCCACATCTGATTGATCCTGATAGACAAGAATCCGTAACAGCAGCAGTAGTAGCAGCAACGGCTGCTGCAGCTGCCGCATCATCATCATCA